ATCTAAAATTAGCTAAAATTTTACAAAATCATCTAACAAAATTAACTAAATTTAACAAAATCTACCAAAAGCTACCAGATTCACCTCAGAAAATTAACTAAATTTAACAAATTTAACAGTCTAACAAAAGCTACTACAATCTAACAAAAATCACCTACCAAAATTAATTAAAATTAACAAAAGCTACCAAAAGCTAACACAATCTAACAAAAATCACCTACCAAAATTAACTAAATCTAAAAAAGTTACCCAAATCTAACACACTCTAGCAAAATCTAACAAAAGCTACCACCATCTAGCAAAATCTAACACAAGTTACCAGAATCTAACAAAATTGTCTAACCACATTAACTACATTTAACAAAAGCTACCAAAATCTAACAAAAGCTGTCACTCTAACAATATCTACCAAAATCTAACAAAAACTACCAAATTAATCTAACCAAATTAACTAAATTTAACAGAAACTACCAAAAAACTAACAAAATAATCTAACAAAATTAACAAAAAAGCTACCAAAATCTAAAATCTGCCAAAATCATCTAACCAAATTAACTAAATTTAACAAAAGCTACCAAAATCCAGCAAAAGCTAACAATAGCTAACAAAAGCTACCAAAGTCATCTAATAAAATTAACTACATTTAACAAAAGCTACCAAAATCATCTAAAAAGTATCATGTAACAATATTTAACAGAATCTAAATTATCTGAATTAACTAAATTTAACAAAATTATCTAACAAAATTATTGTTCAAAATTTAATAAAAGCTAACAAAACAATCTAAATTTAACTAAATTCAAAAGCTAACAAAATTATCTAACCAAATCTGCCAAAATCATCTAACAAATCATCTTACAATATTTAATAAAAATCTGTTAAATTTAACAAAATTTAACAAAATCATCTAACAAAAATATAACAAAAACCAAAATTTAACAAAATTGTTTAACAGAATCCAACAAAACTATCTAACAATTTAAAAATAAAAATAATTAACAATAGTAAAATAATAAAAACTGGTGTTGCCCATCAAGAGCTACCCTTAGCTTACTACTGTTTCTTTGTGCTGCAATATACAAATCATATCAAATCTGTTGCTATATACTACTGGATTTAGATGGTACAGCATTTAAGGTATTTACATGTGGGCTAAGTTAGTGGACGCTAATCAGTGTATATATTTAAAAGCAATTTGGTTTTTGTGTCATGTGACATTTTTGTTTTAAAATGTGTGTCAGTTGCTAATTTGGATCAATTCTTGCTGATATTTTGCCTGATCTGTGACAGTGAAGTAGGATTTAGTAATGCTCCCACTTCAGGTGTCACACTAATGAAAGAGTGATGTTGCCATTTTATGTAGCTGTTTTTATTATAACAATTAATGGAATTTTTTTGTTTGTGCACACATTCAGTAAGAGGGAACAAGTTTTGGAAGGGAATCCTGAAGACATGTACAATGATGGGATGTGATTTAAATACCTTAATCTGAAGCATGGCCAAACACAATACTTAAGTAGATATTGTCTAAAAAAGCCAACTCAAAATTGTTTGTGTTTGCACTCGTAACACTGCTTTGATTGTTAGTCCCCAGATGCAGATATCTTGGTTGGGCCAACAGAAGCTAGAAGATTTAAATCGAAAGGACAGGACAGCCATGAACTACATGAAAGGGAGAACTGGTGTAAGGCATGCAGTGTAAGTGTTCAGAGCATTCTCATCTCTAGCCCAGAACCATTTAAATGACAGTGCCTCAATTTAAATGTCACCTTCTTCTGGTTTGCTGCCATCAGCTTCTGTGACATTTGACCTCTTGTTAATGAAGGCATTCTTTGTAATGATGAAAATCATGGGTGAAGTTGAAATGCCTGGAAATGACTTTTTCTTTCTCATTATATAATCAGACGAGGTCTAATGGAAGATGATGCTGAGCCCATCTTTGAAGATGTAATGATGTCCTCACGAGGTCAGCTAGAGGATATGAATGAAGAATTTGAGGACACGATGGTCATTGATCTGGTCAGTAAATCTTATTAACAACAAGTTTGCAATGGATGAGAGGTAATTTAAAAGGAATTTTAGAAGTGCAAACAAAAAAAAGTACAAAATTTTGAGCCACATTTCCTGTTGTCTGAGAGAGCAGAAATGATCCGAATGCTCCCTAGAACTTACAGCTGCAGATTCAGGAAGGTGAGCTGCTCATCACCCAACACTCCCAAATCATTCTCAGGGCTGCTCTCCATACAGCCTATATTTTTGCTTCAGACTGCCCCAATCCCTGTGCAGGACCTTGTACTTGACCTTCTTGAAATCCGTGAGATTTGCATTGGCCCATTCTCTCCAGGGCCCTCTGGATGGCCTTTTCCATGTAAAATAGGAAAAAAAAAAGCCATTTGCATTATACACTTCACCATTTTTGTGCTTTCCTGTTTCTCCTTTTATATCCAAACAGTAAGGCAGGGGTTACTTGAGGACTGGGCTATAATGTCTTGGAAAGAAAATTTAGGCAGTAATTCAGTTGCTGCTGCCGAATACCAAGGTTATTGCTAGCATCAAGTAAGTAAAATCTCTCTTATCCTAGTAACCCAGGCAAGGAAGTGAAGGAATTTGATCAAGATAGTGAATATCAGATTTACTCTTATGTTCCTAGGGAAAGACAGCATAAAAGATTTAATTCTCAGAAATGCTATGAAATCTTTAAATACCTTTTTTTGTTCTAAACCCATTTTTCTGTCGAGGTCAGAGCTGAAACTTCACCATAAACTTAAAAGCATAAAGAGAGTTAAAGGACAGATTTTATGCAGTGTGGCCTACAGTCCTAAAACAAGAACATCCTTAGATCAGCAACAGCCTCAGGCCTGTCCTTAGCTGCGAGCACAGACTTAAAATCACTTGAGCTTTCACCCCAGTCCTTAAATAGTAAGTGTGAACATAAGCAGCACTTCCCTAAGCCAGAGCCTATCTTTGTATCAGACCTTCTAGGAAAGCCCAAAGCCAGATGCACCCACTGGCTGCAGAGCCACGTGAATCCTTTGTACCCGAGCGGTTGCTGCTATGTTCTAAACCTGCTACCTCCTCTTTTTTAGCCACCTTCAAGGAATCGGCGAGAACGGGCTGAACTGAGGCCAGACTTCTTTGACTCCGCAGCTATCATTGAGGACGATTCAGTAAGGCTTTACTAGTATCATTTCCTGTTTATCTGCGGTGCTTTCTGATGATTGTTACACCTCATTGATTACTGTCTTTTACATCATTTTTCTAGGGATTTGGAATGCCTATGTTCTGAAGTCTGGTGAAGACATTTTACAAATTTGGAACTCTATTGTTTAGAGCTAGAGGCCTATATACTGTGATAGCTTGTATGAAAACCACATTTTTGATGTGATACAGTTTGATTTTTAACCAAATGATTGAGGTCAATCCCTTTTTGTAGTGACAGAAAGAAGAGGAACTTCTTAATGACAGAAAGGAATGTTGGCCAATCCAGTCACCTCAGAAGGGCTGACCTGAAAAATCATTTGTATCCCTGTTCTTGACTGTCCTAATACAGATATTTTTTTTTCTGGATGAGGAGGAAGTTTTAAATTGTTAAGACAGCTGTCAAAATAAACACTGTTCTAAGTATGTTTTCTGAAAACAACATTGAGTGAAAACAGAACTTTTTAACTTTATTTTTCTGCTGTACAATTTAAAACAGTTTTAACATTTGCCTTTTTATGTTTTAAGAGCTAGCCATTTTTATTAAACCTATGCCTATCAGCCATTGACTAGCGATGATGCTATAAGCAGGTCATTCTGGCTACAGAAAAGTGTTTTTGAGCACACTGGATTTGATTAACATTATGGTACGCTTATATCCTCTCATAGGCATTGAGAAGAACACTCTTGTAGAAGAGGTTAGAATTCTAATGACGTGCATCTCTGCCAAAAAAATTCAGATTCTGATATGATAAACCCAGATTTTATACTCTTGAGAAGATTTATTTTTATTTATAATGGGACAGAAAGTAAGAGATGTCCGTGAAGCCACTTTTCCAACAGACGCTGTGTAACATTCATTTTATATAGCACACGGGGACACAAAAACAGTAAATTTTCTATTGGTACTTGCTCTGTGCATTTTTAGCAACTTATACCAGCAAATAAAGTATTCTCAGTAAAACACACAAATGGTTCTCAAGTAATCACTTTGCTGTTTTTACTACCTACTTCAAGCCCTTGCCAACCCAAGGTACATAAACAGCAACTTTCCTAGTCAAAAAAATAAAAAAGAGAAGTCAAGGGTGGGGGAAAGGAATCATTTTAGCATAACTAAAAGCAATTTTAACTGTACCATAAAAGAAGAGAATGTCTACTTTCCATGCCATAAATACCCTTTTCTGCTATTTTTGTAAATTAATTTTGCCAGTTAGAAGTACTGTATGTGCTGCATAGAAATTTGTGCTTAGATGGTGAAGTTCTTAAGCTTACAATGGAATACAGCTACATTTTCAGTGTTAACTGTGCATATTAAGAATAATTCTTTGGGGGAATGAAATAAGATTTTTCAGAAAAGCTAAAAACATCAAAAAAAAAAACCCAAAACATTCTCAACCTAAGTCATTGTAATAAGAGATTTTTCAATGTCTTCAATAATTTGGAATTCCATTATGACTCTGCCTAGGAGCTGCTACACAGGCCCAATACCAGAGGTGCTGCCCATCCACGACTTGCACTGACTCTAGGATCTCAAAGAATCAGCCCCAAAATGTTAATCTTCCTTTCTGCATTCTAACATTAACATTTGAGACACGAAGCAGATTGACCCACTTGGAGCACAGCAGGTTTAGAGGTGCTTTTTCTGTGTTTTTAGCAACTGCAAAATAATCATGGAGTTTTTTTTCTGTTACGAGCTTGTTGAAAAACAAACCAACACATCAGTGCCCAGTGCTTACTTGCTGGGAAAGAAAAGATCTTAAAAACAAACCTGCCTTTCACTCATCTGAGGTTTGTTTATTACAACATGTGCAGTTCTCAGACATGGTTGCCAAAAATGTTTGACTAGGTAATTCAGCCATTCCTCAGATGGTGGTTGGGTAATGTATAAAACCTGAGACGTAGCTGGAACCTTACAAAATCACGTTACCTCCCTTCTTATTCTGCCCACCCCAAAAGTAATAGGGTGGGCAGGAATGGCTGCATTAAATTGTCATCACAGTAACCCTGTGAGCATAGTAGCATAACAAATGCTGCCTGGTTTCAGTCGTAGTCTCAGACGAACCTTGTGCTTCACAGTCCTCTGTGTGGAAAACTGATTCCTAATTTAACATTGTAGAATACTGTATAACAAACATTTATTATCACGGTACCTGCAATGGGTTTCCAGTTCAGTTTGCAGTCAATAGGTTTTTGTATTATGAGTGTCTCCTTGATTGGTTTTGCTAGTAATTCTGTAAATTGTACATTTACAATATGAGGTTTTTTTTTCCTTTTGTACAATTTAAAACTGATGCTTCACCTTTCATTTAATAAACTATTCAAAATCATGAGTATGATGAGCACCCTCTTCACTATAACTTTCTTTTAAAAGCTCGTTTGGACCATCACATCTTACCATCCCATTTCTTAGTAGCCAAAGGAAATACTGAAAGGTAGCTCTTGCAGTCCAGGCTTCACCCCCAGATTCCATAAGCAACCTCACCCACTCAGCTGCAGCGCAAAGGAAAACCCTGCCTGCTCTTTCTTCTTTCTACTGTGGTGGATTTTTGGATTTTGGTTGATCTGGGAGGGGTTTATTGTGAAATTGCTGTAAATCTGGCAAGTCCTCACCCAAGTTGGGAGAGTTGTATTGTTAAAACTTAACACTGTCTGAACTGTCACAAATTCTAACGAAAATCTCACCTTCCTGCCATGTATGCCTGAAGTGAACTGGACAATGTACTAAAGGCTTGGAAGGTCCAACAACCAGCTGGGCTAAATGGAGTTTCACAGATCCCTGCAATGAATGTGCTCCTTATTCCCATGCCTGAGAGAGAAAGGTGCTATGATTGTCCAACCTGTGAATGATTTCATCTCTGTAGCATTAAAGAAAAACTGACTTGACTTCTCGCCTGGCCCACTTCCTAAAGGAAAATCATCTTGAGTCAGAGAAAGTAACAAGATGCCACAGGTGAGGAACAGGGATAGGATTCAAGGCCTGACTACTCCTGAAACACAGCCCAAATGCTACGTCTCAAACTGCTTGTAAGTGATGCTCAACTCCTGATGCGCTGTGCAACACAGTAAGTAACCTTTCACACTTCTAAGTTCAGGGGCTGCTCTCTGTTGAAAGGATTTTATTTCTGTTGTTTCTGCAGGTGACTGAAATTCAAGAGAAACTCAAGGCATGTGGCCAGAGCAGCTTCCCAGTGGGCTTCCAAAGCATTGTGCTGCTAGAGCAACTGACTGCTTGGGAATCGAGGGGATATAAAAGGCAAGTTCTTGTCCTGGCAAGGAACAGAAGACAGGATGAAGTCTACAGAACTAATGAGGTTAGGAAACAAGAAAGGTTTTATTTTACTGTTTGTGACTATGACAACTGGGTTTCTCATTTAGCATCTCCTCCTGACACTGGGCAGGCTGAGGAAACTGCGTGCATATTGCTTCATTTAAAACAGCTTTTGCCTCTAAACCTGAGATAGCCACCAGCAACTCTCAGCTACTAATTACCTCCAAAAAATCCTCTTGCTCCTTCCAGACTCTGACTATAGCTTCTCAGTTACCTAAGAACTCACTTCATGGCAGCGACCCTCAATATAGCAATATTTCAGTTTACCTTACCTTGTTGCAGCCAGCTCTGTTCTGTGGGCAGCAGGTACACACATCTGCTCCAAGTGCATGTTTCTGCTGCAGTACCACCAGGTACATTCCTATAGGTAGCTTCAGTGTGTCCGCAGCCAGGATGGACAGTACACCTGTAACAGGATTTAACAATGTCTAGTAAACAAGACATTGCTTCTGGCTAGTACAAAGAACAGTGGAGCTGGGACTCGTACTTGAAGCACTCCTTCTGTACTGTGTTTTCAGATGATTTTTAGTTGTTGCCCTTCTCCACCAGGTACAGGCTCCACGCTCCATGGCTGTACTCACTCAGGCATCAGCTGCACCTACCTGGGAAGAGATGCTACCTGCCAAGTTGCCATCTTGTCTTTCTTCCACTTCAGGCACGTGCCTGGGGGAGTCAAGAGCAGCAGCAGCGTGCAGGTAGGGTAGTTCTCTGTCTTCTAATACAGTGCCGTAAGTTACTGAGGTTACTTTTAACAAACAGATCATTACAGAAGTTGGCAGCTGTTTGCAGTAGTGCTAAACACGCTGACAGCTGTTACTCACTACCCTTCTGGGGATGTAGTTGAAGCACTACCTCTAATGAGCAGAGTGAGCACAGGGTGCAGGGCTGATCATCTGTAGTAACGCTACTGGAGCAGTTCCTTGCAAGTCTGGCAAACAATCATAGAAAAAAATAAGGCTGCAAGGGGCCCCTGGAGGTGTCTGTTCCAATCCTGTGCTGAGGGAGAAAGGCCCCCCACACCCACGGAGGAAGACTCTAGTGTCCCACCAGAACTGCCTTTTTTCCAATGTGGATGCACTGTCTCTTGTCCTTTGAGAGGAGACTGGCCCCACAACTCTTAACTACCTGTGTCACAGCCTGGAGATCACCGATACCAACCAAGACCCAGCCAATGTGTAAAAGCTGCGAGTCAGACAGTCTAGCTGAGGAACAGAACAGGTTAGTCTGAGATGGGCAGGGCCTGGATTCCAGTGCACTGAAATCCAAGCTCAGGATTTTTCTCTCCAAGTCTGTGGTGAGGGAAGTGGAGTCAGACTCCAGAGGTGGACCCAAGGCTAGACGTGAACTCCCCAGGGTCTGACTCTGAGCAGTGAGAGGTTGCTGCAGCTCTGCCTGCCCAAGCCACCTCCAAGGGCCTACAGGATGGAGCAGCCCATGGAGCATCTGACCTTGTGCAATTTGTAACTACTCACCTGCAGCAAGCATAGCAGGTTATGTGGATTATTAATCCACAAAAATGGGTTTGTAGAGATGACGTGGTAAGACCCCAAATTAAATGAGATATGTAGTATGATTTAATGGTATTAACAAAATCAAAATGAAAACATTGTTTCCATTGCAAGGTAGACCTGCACTTAAACAGGGAGTATCTGCATTCAGAATACTGCTGTGTCTTCCAGCATGGCCAAGCCCCTTCTCATGCTCACAGTGGGATATTAGCATGTTTCTTCCAGGGACTGGACTGTGTTTTACTAGCCAGCACATCTAGGTCATGGCAGATGCGCATGCGAGTGGTTGAAGGTTGGATGATATCATCAACAAACCCTGTAAAGAAAAGAAAACAAAACCTGACCAACCATGAAGTGTTTGCTTGCTTCTCAGCCTGCTGTAGGGAGGCTGCAATGTCAATCAGCTAAATCAAAACAGTGCTTGGAATAAACAGTTCACAAGTTACAAATTAACTTAAGATAATTTAAACAGCCTGAAAAGGAAATATTCCTGTGTCAGCAGTTTTTAAATCAGAAACATTTGGGGGTTTAATTTTTGTAAAAGTTAGCAAGCCATAAAATGTTAAGGAGGGGCTTTACTCACTGAGTGCGGTACCTGTCACTGCAAAGTTTAGTCATACCATCTCCTTCCATGTACTACCATTAGTCTGACTTATTTACAGGTATTGACTAGAAGAGACATCCCTTGACTTCACACATGCAGGAAGCTGGTTTTTTTTTCTGGCTCTAACAGCAGTAGTAGTCTACTGCAAAACCAGAGGGAGGGATATACTGTGCACAGTGATTATGGTGGAAAACAGCTTGGCTAAGTCTTCCCAGCTCTGTGGCACTATTACTGGGATTTAAATGAAGTACAAACCCTATCAACAGAGTAAGCCAGCACAACTGGAAATGGAGAGCGCCAGCTCCAGAGCCTGCAGAACTGCCTTCCACAGCACAGTTAAGCCAGAAGGAAATACAGTGGGAGGATTTACTCCAGAGAGTCCCGGGTCACATCACTAAACTGAACCAGACTCTGACCTTTTCTTAAGGCCACCGTCAAAACAGACTGTCAAAGCATCTGTGCCTTTAAGTGGAAGGCTGCGTTTTGAGATGCTTTCCAGTGTCTATGAAACTGAAAATCTGCTTTTCAGTGCAATCCCCACATCTTACCAGTCCCTCTCCATTTGAATATGTTCTGTGTTTTTCCACAAGCTGTGGTCAAGCATCACCTTTCTGACTCGGATGCAAATATCACTAGCAGAAAGGAACTCAACAGCTACAAATTTACTACATGCAATGGGAAACTCAAACAGGGGACACAAAGTGTGAGAAAACCATACCTCTCATGGCAGCAGGAAAGGGATTTGCAAACTTATCCACGTATTCTGCCTCTGCAGCTGCCTCTTTTCCTCTGAAAATGATCTGGACAGCACCCTAAGAAGATAAAGTCTACATGTCAGTGACAGTAATTGGGGCTGTACAGAAGATATTTGTGTGTTCCACCAGCCCCTTCCCCCTGCCACACTGTACAGATGTGCATTCTGGTCAGCTGCTTCAGAGTGTAAGGAGTCACCCTGGATTTACCTTTGCACCCATCACTGCCACCTCTGCAGTAGGCCAGGCATAATTTGCATCTCCTCTTAAATGCTTTGAGCTCATTACATCATAGGCACCCCCATAGGCCTGGAACAAAAAAAAAAAAGGGATTAGAATCATAGAATCGTTAGGGCTGAAAAGGACCTTAAGATCATCAAGTTCCAACCCCCTGCCATGGGCAGGGACACCTCACATTATGCCATCTCACCCAAGGTCTCATCCAACCTGGTGTTGAACACTGCCAGGGATCGAGCATTCACAACCTCCCTGGACAACCTATTCCAGTGCCTCACCACCCTCACAATAAAGAACTTCCTCCTCATATGCAATCTAAACTTCTCCTGTTTAAGTTTCAACCCATTACCCCTTGTCCTATCACTACAGTCCCTAATGAAGAGTCCCTCCCCAGCATCCCTATAGGCCCCCTTCAGATACTGGAAGGCTGCTATGAGGTCTCCACGCAGCCTTCTCTTCTCCAGGCTGAACAGCCCCAACTTTCTCAGCCTGTCTTCATAGGGGAGGTGCTCCAGTCCCCTGATCATCCTCATGGCCCTAATTAATTAATTAGTGTGAAGTTGCTCACAGCAATAGCCTACATTCCTCTTGCAGTTTTTACTAGTTTGAAGACAAGCAAGTGGGGCTAAATTTTACCTGAAAGAGACCATGAGCATCTGTCTCCCTTTTGCTCTGCTCTCCTAAGACAGATATCTCTTCAACTAGAACCCCGAAGAGCAAGGAAGGCAGTTGCTGGTAACCCACTACTCTTCTTGATGGCAGGTAGGGAGGAATCACCATATATCTTGAACAGCAGGCCTCAAGCCACACCGTGCACATGCACACAAACAAATGACATGCTTCTGGAATTTCCTGGCCAGGGAATGCAGCACTCAGGCTCTGCAGTGCTCCACTTTGGTACTGGAAGCGCTCCAGACAGCAATGATGAACAGATACTGCAGAACTGCAGAGCAGACTGCAGTACAGTCTGTTGCAAGGCATTACTGAAAGCTACAGCAAGGCTGCAAACTTGGGAAGTAAAGGATGGCAATATTGACAAGAATCAGAGAAAGAAAAAAGGGACAGCAAGAAGGAAAGCAAACCTCTCAGAAAACAAAGCAGGAGGGGCAGACCAGCAAGGAAAAAGCTAAGCCTTTTAGGACCTAGAAAATCGCGGAGCTTATGGCAGCATGGTATCAGGCACCTTGCAGAAAAAGAGAGAGGAGAAAAAAATAAATAGACTATAGCAGCAGTAAATGGAAGAAGAGAAACCATGTGAGCATGAAACCTGCAGGCATAACGTATAAAGATACAGTCAGCACCGGTTTTGGAAAAGGAGACTGAAGTGGCAAGAACGCAGAAAGATGATTTGCTCTGTGCAAACAGATGGCATGTCCTCAGTGACACAAGCTGGGTGACAAAGGACAAATACTTGACTGAAAGCATTCCAGGGAGAAAGCAAAGAGCAAAAACGTGTGATTTTAGAGGAGTGCAGAGGTACAAGGAATGAAGGAGCTGAGGTAACAGTCTGAGAAAAGAAGAAATGGCCTCTTGTAACTGGACATAAAGAGGTGTTACCAGATGGGACAAATGGAGATGTGACAACAGAAAGCACAAGTGGGACAGATGGGCAGAGCTTTGCATAGCTAAAATTGCTACTAGTGAAAACAAGAACTCCAGCAGAGCACCATGGAATCATGCCAGCTTACCTTTCTGGTGATGATGGTGATTTTAGGCACAGTTGCCTCTGCAAAGGCGAAGAGTAGCTTCGCACCATGACGTATGATTCCACCATACTCCTGAGCTGTACCTATAAATGACAAGAAACTTTTTTTACTCCAGGGAATTCACAAAACCCCCTATGCAGTTTGGCATCATCATCCGTTACTGGCAGCAAACCTGACAACAACCAGAGACGTGTTAATATCCAGGAGAAGGCAATACCAGGCAATGGTCTCAATCAGATACTGAGCAACACTACAGTAAGACTCGCACCAAAAGCGGCATATATTATTTGCGGATGAGGTCACAGAACCAGCACACTCACCAGATGGTATGTTCTTAGGAACAAAATACAGTTATATCATTTTCAGGACTTCGACTGTGACTACCAGCTGAAAACACAACTGAGATTCACTTCTCCAGAAACCCACTCTTCCACATCCCCTTTTTTCTAGGCCATACTGAAAGGCAGTTTGGCTATCAGAGACCTATCCTAGTTGTCCTTCAAGCAAGGCCAAGATGATGGACCTTAAACAATGGAGCATGAATTCCTCTGTAAAGATTCTCACAGCAGGCGCTGCTGGAGAATGATCATATGCAGCAAACATGAATACAAGTCATTTGTTTCACAGGAGGTTAAACACAGGCCTCATTGGCGTGACTCGGAAACAGCAATCCCATACACCTTATTTATAGGATTTCTGAATTTCAGACCACCAGATGTAACTCTACAATTATTTTCTAGCAGTTTATCCACCTCCTGACTTTTGCTTTCAGCACCTGAGAAAACTTCTTAGAGTACTTTGGGATTTTTTTAATTTATATCTTTTTTAAAATGTAAGATTTTAAAGAAAAACTCTTTAGTGAGCTGTAGTAACTCTCTGGGTGGCCTGACTTTAGTGCTTCCCTCAGTGTCATTTGAGTGTCTAATCACATACAAATTATTACACTTAGAAATGTCTCTTC